AGAAAGAAAGAAAGAAAGAAAGAAAGAAAGAAAGAAAGAAAGAAAGAAAGAAAGAAAGAAAGAAAGAAAGAAAGAAAGAAAGAAAAGTACATTGTATGTAGCCATAGCCTGCTGGTAACCTGAGTGGGGTCAGTTTCTGCAAAGTCATGGGGGTGCGAATCAGCCCGTAGCATCAGTGGGAGGTGACAATGTGGAGACAGAGAATGTGGACAGTGTTTGAAATACTGGGTTTTGAAAGGAAGGAGGAAAGGCAGGATCTGGAGGAGATCGTGGGGTTGAGGGAGGAAAGGGAAGTTGAAAACTGAGGGAGAGGGCAGATGGGCACAGGTCTGGGGTCCATCATCCGAACTGACCACATGGACTGTGTCCAGAGGGGAACAGCCTGGTGGACCCATTGGGATAGGCTGAAACACACAAACACCATCTAATCTAAGCATGAAAGGGAATGTACTAGGAAAATATGGGCCAATTCGCTGAATGAATTAGTGTTAACATATTAATATATATTGGAGAATAAGACTCAGTAAAGGAAAAATTTGACCCTGCTGGGAATGTGAATAGCAGGAAGTGTTTTACAGCCGAGCCAGGGGGCCACCACTGGAATTAATATGCTCCATCTGTTCTCAGGGTTTTTATCATTTTGCTCCTCATTGAAATTCCAGTTGCCTCTCTTGGGCCATGTGTCCTTGGTTGGGAGCTAGGGAGAGGAGCCAGCTCCTTAAAACCCTCCAGACTACCATCCACAGGGAGAGGTCAGGGTGCTGGGCCCCCACAAAGAAATACAAAGAGGATAGAACTGAAAGGGGGGAGCTTTTTCTTTTCCTGAGAAAGTCAGAGCAAGGACACAAACCTTGTTTTCAGACCCCATTCAGAATTTATCCACTTAGTTAAGGCACTCATGGCCCAATCATGAGTCTTACAGGGGTAAACCTTTAACTACAGGGAGGAAAGACCCAGAGAAGAGAACCACCCCACCCCCACCACCCTGAAACACGTTTCCCTGGCGTCTCAGATGGTTCAGTGGGACACAACTGTTGAGAGCCACAGCCTAAGGTGCCCCAGCAAACTTCCAGCTGCTAGCAAAGTTCCAGCTGCCAGCTGATGATTGGCTCACAGTGGCCCCAGCAACTTCTAGCTGCCAACTGATTGGCTCCTCTGCGGTGATGCTCATTGGGCTGTTTCCCTGCCCTTCAGACTGCTAGCTGATGATTGGCTCACAGGGGCCCCAGCAACATCTAGCTGATTGGCTCCTCCACGGAGCTGCTCATTGGGGGACTTCTTTGGCTCAGCCCACGCAACCCAGCCAATCGGCATCAAGAGCAGGAGGAGGGGGGAAGTTGAGAGGCTTGTGGGAAGCCATTGGTAGCAGTTGGGCTCTAAAGGTTTTTCCTGAGGAGCTGTTTTGTTTGGGGTGTGTGGTTCTAAAAATAAAGTTCATTTCTTTTGACAAGTGGCTCCTGAATTGTGCCCAGCCAGACTGCAGCACCCAACTGCCAGTCACCAGCTGAGGCAGCCAACTTAAGACTGCTTCTATTGGCTTTCTCAGCTGCTCGGCCTCCTTACTGAGGTCCTGAGTTCATAGGCCTCCAGAAATTACTTCTGCTTATGCTTCCTGGGAACTCAGCCCAGGGCAAAGGCCACAGGGATCTGGAGCCTGGAGGTGGGTGAGGATTCAGGGTACAGCATGAAACAGTGTGGCAGAGGATCCTGGCTGAGAGGATGAGACCTGAGCAAAGGCTTGAGGGAGGTCAGAGAGAAGGTCCAGTAAAAAACTACTCAAGACAAAGAGGGCTAAATAGAGGTTCAAATAGGGCCCTGGGCAGGAGCATGCCTGCTGTGTTGGGGAACAGCAAGGGAGCCAGGGTAGCTATAGAAGGAAGGGGGAAGCATGCTGAAAAGTGTCACTAAGATGGCTGGAGCCACATCCTATCTGGCCTCGAAGGACCTGGCTTTTGCAGAACAGCAAAGGGAGCAGCAGAATGGCAGGACCTGACTTTGGATAAAAGAATGACAGTGTTGAGGAAACGGGAAGAACACTCCCCAAGGGATCCCACTTGTAAGAGCTCAACCTGGCAGATGAAAAAAGACAAATCCTTCAGAGGGAGGCCTAAAAGGAAAATGCCTTCTTTAAAAGGTCGAGCTATCCAACAGTGGCCTGAGCTGTCTTGGGTGGTAATGATCTCCCTGACCCCGGGGGTGCTCAAAAAAAGACTGCATAACCTGTCATCAGAGAGGATGTAAAAACAATGCTTTATATGGGTTGGAACAGGATGATACAAAGAAAGACCTTGAGATGTTCCAAACCCTAAAACAGTACCTGATATCCAGAGAGAATGATGATCAGCTAAAAGTCCCAGGGAAATCTATCTAAAATTAAACCAGGACCCATATAGCTCCCTGTGCTTTTAGGGTTCAGAGCCCCATATACAAGCCCATGACACCTTCTGGGAAAAAATCAAAACAAACTGTCTTCTTCCAAATGCTTTGATTTAAATAGTTTATTTGGGATATATGAATATAGAATCTAGGAAAAATAAGAGGTGACAAGAGAAGGAGACTCCAAATATTGTTATAAAAAAGATGTGCTAGGGAGATAAGGATCTGATTGAGTATGACCTAGCTCATTTGTTCATTTAGTTGTTCAAAACAATTTATTTTGTACTTGTTATGTGCTCAATATAGGTGAATAAAATGCATGAAATCTGTGCTTCTTAGAGCTTACATTCTAAAAGGGAATACAGCCATAGATGAGTAATAACCATAACTCTTGATGTGTCCCAGTAAAGGTGAAAGAACTCAGTAAGGGAAACTCTCAGGAGGATTCAGTCACTGCAGTAAAACATCTGCAAGAGCAGAGGGGGAATCCCGCATAGGGTGGAGAGTGAGTAGGGAAGCTAAGCCCTAGTCCTAGAGAGTTCAGGGAAGATCATCAAGAAGAATATCAAGGCATAATTTTTATGAGACTAAATGCAAATGGAAGCATATTTCTCAATTGGAAAGTATTATACCAGGAAGCACAGATAGATCACCTGGGAGTTCTATTATTATTTGGATGCTTAGGGCCCCTACCTAGAAATTCTGATTCCAGTGGTCCAGAGTAGAGGCAGAGCAATAATGTTTCTTTAAAAATTCCCAAGATTTCTCAAGTGAAGCCATGGCTGAGAACCTCTGTGGAAGGTAGAGCCCTCTGAGAGACAGGGCCTGCCCACTAAGTGCCCTCTGTATCTAGCTCCTAAATCAGGACTTGCTGCAGAGTAGATGCTCAGAATATGTGAACTGGGTAAAGAAATGAATACTGTGAGAATCAAGTGAAGGAAATCACAGCTAGTTACTAAAATCAGAGCAAGAATCAAACTGATTTCCAGCATCCCATCTTAACTATGGACTGAATTGACCCAGAGTTGAAGCTAGTTGCAACCTCACAGGGGGTCCCAGAAAGGGGAGAGGGAAAGGTTCTGGGGAAAGATGCAGAAAACCAATGGCCCAGTATATCAGGAACAGTAAGGAGAATTCAAACATGCATTAATGACCTCTAAGCCCAACTGAAGACATTCTGTCTTTATTTAAGTATCCCATCTTTATGTAAATGGCCCTTTTCTCTTCACCACAACAAATGATAGTGACTTGTTATTAAAGAGGAAAGTTGTAGGGGAAGGAGGACAGGGAGTCAGGTTATTAACAGAGGTGGATGAATAAGAGCTCTTCAACATCCAGGGTGGTATCCCATCTCCTGCCCTCTGCCTCTCCCCCATCCCAACCCCTACTGCCAGTCTCCTCTCCTGCTATCCAAACAATATTACATCCTATTTTAAAGGAATGTGAGATCCTAGGTACTTCTCTATGGACAAATCACTTGGCATCCTTAGTGTCCCCTCCTCTTATTGAGGACACTCCATCCCCACGGTGTGGGTAGGCAGCCAATCTTTGACAAGATGGCCCATGTATAGCTGATGTGGGGAAGCTACTCAACTATAGTTGCAGAAAAAAAAAAAAAAAACGGAGGCCAGGCTTCAACTCTAGTGTTCTGGCTATCAGCACTGCTAAGAATATGAACTTTGAAAACCTCTCATTAAATGAAGAATCATTATATATGTTTCCTAGAGATTTTGTGCTTTGCTTCTAAAATGCTGTCTTCTAAACCTCCCCCAAAATTCTGTGCCAGTTCATTTGTACCAAGTGGGAAGCCTTGCTCTATGGGACTCTACCCCACCACCATCTTTCAGCCAGTCAGGCTCCCGGATCCTTCTGAGTGGAGAGAAGCTGGAAGCTGGGAAAAAGAGTCAAGGAACCCTGTAGACCCAACAGCAAAGCAGCAGCCTAATGCCCTCAATCTCTCTTCTTTAGAGGGAAACCTCTGCTGGGTGCATGAGGCAGAGCTGTGGGTGAGGCTTTTGTAGTAAGCAGAGGTGAATTTAAGCCTGCATCTAGAGGATGTGGAGATAATGAGGAACAGGAGTGGAAACCTAACAAGAGAGCCAGGTCAAACTCATTGTTGTGGAAAGGCCTTTTGAGATCACCTAGTCCTGGAATTTTCAAACATTTTTAAGGCAGTTAACCTTTTTTCATACAAATAACTAAAGTACAATTCCACCTAAGGTGCAGCTGTTATGATAGAAGCAAGAGGAGAAAGTAAGAATTGGAGGTGGGTTGTTGGACCAGGAGTAGGAAACCCACCCACTCAGTCCACTTTCCAAATCCAAAAGTCCCTAAGGCACCTGCACAGAATTTTGGGATACTTGTTCTTCCTTTGAAACACCCTGATCTATCCCAGATGGAGAACATGGGTAAACTGTCCAGAGTCCCCACTGAGACAAGGACAGCATTAGAACTAGAACTTGATCCCATTCCCAGGCTAGGTCTCTTCTCACCCACTCCCACCAGCCAGCAGACCCCACCCCAAGCCTCTGGCCCACCGAGGAGGGCTTAAAAAGAGCTGCGGAAGGAGAACTGTAGGTAGATGATCAACAGAAGAACAGTGGCCCAAAACAAGCACCAGGGAATAGAGCAGAAGTTGCAGCCCGAGCCCTCCTCAGCCTGAGGCTTGGTGGGACTGGGCGCCCTGGAGAAGGTATAAGTGGTCGCCTCCTCCTCCAGCAACTTCTGGCTGGGCTTCCAGTGCACGATGCCCTCCTGGCAGGCCTCGCAGAACTCTCCCCGGTGTCGTCGGTGGTCCTGGCGGCTGGCCACGTGGATGCGGTACTGGCCGCCGCGCTCCCCGTAGCACTGCTCGCGCAGACTGGTGATGAGGTTGTCCACCAGGCTCTCGATGTTCTCCTCCAGCATGCTGGACTCGTCCAGTCGCGCCGTGCCACACTCATAGCACAGCTGCTTGAAGACCCGCATGCGCACCGAGCCTGCGCGCTGGGCTCGGTCCAGGTACATGTGGAAGAGGATAACCACGTGGGGCGATTGCCAGGTGTGCCAGCACCAGGAGCAGTGGAACCTGCAGACAGGGGAAAGGAAAAGAAGACCGGACTGTGTGGAGGCAGAAGAAACAGGCCCAGGAAGTGGGTGAAGGGACGTAGAGGGTCAGCAGCGCCTGGAGGTGGGGGCGGTGTGTTGACAGCCCCTTGGGTTTATCAGCCCCTTGGGCTCCCCAAGAGGCTGCCCAACCGGCCCCATTGTTAGCACCCCTGGGGCTAGAACAGGTTCCTTGGGAGTGGCATCCCACTGTGCTGTGTCTCCTGGGTGCTTTACAGAGGCCTCTGCCCCCTCCATCCCAGTTTCTTCAGGACTTGCTCCCAGATCTTTCTCTCTGGGCATCATTTCTCATCTGTAAAATGAGTGCACTAGGTGAGTCCTTCCTGCCCAAACTGCCTAGGAGTCTGATAGTACAGGTACAGCCCTGATCAGATTGGAAATGCACAATCTATCTGCACATTCCTATGTCAATGCTGTCTGTGGTCCAAATCAGGAAAAAAATCACATTATCACCTATCAGTCTCAAGTCAGTGCCAGAGTTAATGCATGCCAAGGCCTAGAAGTAGAGGCAGTCTGTGCCCAGAGGTCTATAATTTCCCAGGCTAACTGGGTCCAGCTGGGGATCACAGGTCACAGGCCAGTGCTGGGAATGCCATAAACCCTCCCTACTCAGTCCCCCAAGTCTTTCATGCCTTCAAGAAGCTTCTGAGTCCTTCAGGCAAGTGGCATCCTTCCCATCTGTTGATTTGGGAGTTTGATGTTTTCATGTTCATTTCTTCTTATTTATTCATGTCATTTTGGGACTAAAATTTTTCTCTCTCATCACAGACTACTAAACTTGAATTTTAAAATGTCAAAATCTCAGAAATCTCCCAAATAATTCTTCATTTTTCTCTGAGATGCAGAACCTAAGAGAGCCATCCATGTACATCCAGTGCCCAGTAATGCTTCTTGAATTGAATTGAATTGACTGAACCAAGCAAAGCAGGAAACCTTGCTTCAGATTCCAAGCTGAACCACTCAACTTCCCCATCTTATGTCCCAGAGGTAAGTCTTGACCCTATGGACAAGACCCATAGACAAGAGTACTAGAAGGTTGTCTCAGATATTATTGCATATACAAAGCACTTAGGGAATCTTATTAAAATGCAGATTCTGATTCAGGTCTAGAATGGAGTCCAAGATTCTGCATCTCTAGCAAGTTCTAGATGATGCTCCTTGGACCACAAAGCAAAGAACTAGAACTAACCCTTCATTTTGCAAATGAAGAAAGTGAAGTCCAAGAAAAATATTGAATTGCTCAAGAGCCATGGAATCTATAGTAGAGCTACTTTAGAACACCACGTGTATTTGATATTTTAAATCAAACCAAGCTGAGTTAAAGAGATTAAAATTGAACTGGCCCAGGAGCAAAGCACAAACCACACCATGGACCTCAAGCCTCCCATCTTTCAGTTTTCAACTATTTGTTTTTAAATATTAAAATCTGAAAATGTGCAAGGTGCCAGAGTTTAGGACTAATAATCTATCCTACCTCTTGATTCTCTGGATGAGGAAACTGTGAGAGAAAAAAAAAAATTACGCAGGTGATGGATCAGTAGAAGAGCTGGAATCAAAGCCAGGCATCCAAGCTCCCTTTGGGGGACTTACTCTGCTTCCCAGTCTACACTAGTCTGACAGTGAGATTGAAGCTAAGCACTTGGGTTCTGCAAATCCTTATCTTTCCTTGCAAGATACCCCAGGGCTAGGGACTTGGGGACTGCCTACATGGCCCCTACTTTCTGAGCTACTCACCTGCCTGAGGCGTGCAGTTCCAGGTACTGCTTCCAGCCAGGGGCCAGCACGTTATGCTTGAGGTTGGGGTCAATGATGAGGTCCCAGCTGTCAGCTGGCTTAGCTTCCTCCATCTTCTCATAGAAGACTTTCTTCCACTCACCTGTGGTCACACTTTTACACATATCCTCGTCAGTGTAAAGGGAGGGCAAGCTCCACTTTAGTGAGAATGTGGAGAATGAGGGCAAGTGCAGGGCAGGGCAGCGCAGTCTCCACGGTCTAAAAATCCTCATCGACAGGACCAGAAGGAAGCAGGACCCAGCTCCCTCCTTTGTCCGCAGAGGAACCTGTTTCCAAGGCAACCAGGCAGGGCGCCAAGAGACAGAGCTTGGAGAGGAAGGAGTCTCCAAAGAGGTGTTTCAGGGCCCGAACTGAGACTGCAGAGGCAGGATTTGCAGGTCTCAGTGATCCAAGACAGCACAGGGGCCTGAAGAGGCTCTGAGCTTCAGACCATTCTTACCTTGGCCTGCAAAGGGCATGGAGAAATGAGGACTTGAGAGGTGGCTCAATTTCACCTTGTTGCCCCTGGAGGCATCATCAGTATCTGGCTGCTATGGTAACCATGATACCTTAGGGAGTCAAGGAGAAATAAGATGTGGGACGTTGTAGACTGCTAGTAAGTAGAGCAATAATAATAAATTTTTTCTCTGCACACTTACCCATCCCGTGACTGATACACTGCCATTTAAAAAAAAAACATAATTGGAGGTCTCTTAAACCACAGTGACTATTAACATTGTACAGATCAGCAGCCTGGGGCTCATCTGGCCCATAAATAGAGCTTCTATTGAAATCGAAGATGTAGACCCCATATCAATTCATTCACTTATTTATTTCACATATATTTATGTACCAACTCTTATGCCAGATGCTTGTTCCTGAGTATGTACCCAATAACCATAACGTGATGAGATTCCTGCTGTCAGGGCTACGGAAAAGAGCAGCCATCTGTACACTAAGGTAGAAGCCATTGCATCAGCCAGGGAGGAGTAGACAAGATGATTTCCAGGGTGATTTTAGAGGGGCATTACACACACAGAAAAACTGCCTTTATTATAGGTAACTGCTACTTTTTAATAAATTATTTTTCCTTAAAAATTCATATGGAGTTATTATAGAAAAATTATAAAAATAGTTAATATTAAACAAAGGTAAGACTCTTCCATCATACTCCAGCCAAAATGATTATAATTAATATGATGCAATTTTTCCACACATGTATGTACGTGTATATATAAAAATCTACATGCACATTGTGACATATTAAATAATAATATATCATGAATATTTTTCCAGGTAATTAATATTATTCCAAAGCAGTATCATGTAGGGTGCCTACACTCTGTTGTATGGATAGGCACAATTTATTTAGCCAATCTAGTATTTTGAGGCATTAAAGTCTTATGTCAGTCCCTTACAAGTGAACCATGTATCTGTATAGTTTGATCAAGAAGTTCATGAACCTAGATTCCAAGCACCAGAGATAATACTTCATGCAATCAGAAAACATGCCTCAACTCCATTCTTCAAAAGTTTGGTGTAGCTAGCAGAATCTGAGCAAGATCTCCAAACAGTGTGAATTATGGACAGCCTGCAGATCCTGAAGTTTGGGGGTTTAAAAAAAAAA